TATCCGTTATGAGATTCACATAATATAATTGCAAAATTTTGTCTTTCACTTTAGCAATTATACTCCTAAACTCCATTTTGGTATCTCTATGTTTAGAATCATTTCTAGCCATCCAAAGGAACCATGTAATGAGGATAGGCCTTAAGTTGAAAATTTGCCCTTTGGAAGGGTTAAGCCAACACTGTAAATTAGTCATCACATCACTATTGTTGTTAAACTCACATATATTTGCCCAATCAAAAAAATAACTCCAAACACTAATGGAAATACCACCATTGACGAACACATGATTGATAGTTTCAATGTTAGAACGACATTGGCATTTTGAAAGCAAATTAAAACCTTTTTTTTATCAACAGCTCATCAAGAGGTAACCAATTATGGATAGTTTTCTAAACAATAATGGAATATGATAAAATAATGTTATAAGTGTAAAGCCACTCATCCACCTATACATCCTCATCTCTGCAACACCTAACTTAGTATTATGCTTCTCTTTTAATGGTCAACATTTAGCACCATAAAGCATTATAGGTCTAACCATCATCTTATAGAATTTTTCCTTAAGTTTGAGGGAGGCTTTTCTATTGCACAACAAACCCGATGCATTCCTCCACTTCAACCATCCAACTTGAATTTTGCTGATAATATCTCCATTTATTTTACCATCACTCTAAATAATAGATCCAAGATATCTAGAATGTGTACTCTTATTAATGACTTGATCGCTCAAGTCATAATCCCCTAACTAGGTCTATTGCTATGAAAATTACACTCCATATATTTAGTTTTAGAACTACTCAAGTGAAAACCTTTAGACTCTAAGGTTGACCTCCATAATTTAAGTTTACCTTCAACTCCATCTCTAGTCTTATTAACAAGAAGAAAATCATCAGCAAAAAGCATACACTAATGGTATATTCTCTTGCAAATGTCTAGTGAGAACATCCATAACTAAAGCAAAAAGATATGAACTTAAGGCTGATTCTTGCTGTAATACAACCGAAATAGGAAAATACTTTGTCAAACCATCTTGTGTGTGAACACAAGTAATAGTTCATGCATATATATCTTTAATGTTTTGAATATAAGAGTTATTAATTCCTTTCTTTTCAAGAACTCACCATAGTATCTCTTGGAACTTTATCATATGCTTTCTCTAAATCAATAAATCTCATATGAAAATCCTCCTTATTCTCTTTATATTTCTCCAACAAACCTCTCAATAAATGTATGACTTCCATAGTAGACCTTCCCGGCGTGAACCCAAATTGATTTTGAGAAACATTAGTATCACGCCACAACCTACGCTCTATAACCCACTCCCATAATTTTAAAGTAAGACACATTAACTTAATTCCTATATAACTTGCACACTTCTGTGCATCACCTTTTTCTTAAAAATAGGAATTAACACACTCATTCTCCACTAATATGACATCTTTTTAGTCTTCAAAATAGTATTAAAAAGTTTAGTAAGAAAAGAAATTCTTTCATCTCCTAAGCCTTTCCACATCTTTATTGGAATATCATCAGGTCCAACAGTTTTTCCACACCTCATTATCTTTAAAGCCTCTCTAACTTTGGTTTTACTAATACACCGATAAAAATAAAAATCTTTATTTTCATTTAGGGTGCTAACGTCACTGAAGTCAATCTTATTTTACATTCTTCATTAAAAAGTTTGGCAAAATATCTCATCCACCTTTATTGAATATTATCTTCTAAGAAAAGTAAATTTTTATCTTCATACTTAATACACTTCATTTGAACTAAATAATTACTAATTCTATATCTTTGTTTTGCTAACTTATACATATATCTTTATCCCTTTATAGTATCTAATATTTTATATCAATCATTAAAAGCTAACCTCTTTGCATCGCAAATAGCTTTCTTAGATTCTTTACGAGCCCTTTATAGATTTTCCAATTATCAGAATTTTTACATATAAACTAATTTTTATAATAAATTTTCTTATTTTTTTTATCTTTTCTTGCACATTTGGATTCCACCACCAACTATTTTTACTATTATGATCTTGTACTTTCGAAAGTTCAACTACATCTTTTGTAATATTCTTAATATCACTAACTACTTTTTCTCACATAACATTAGCATCCTTACGCACAGACAATATTTTAAGATCTAAAATCTTACTCTTAAAAATATTTTTATTAATATTCTTTAAATGCCCCCATGTAATCTTATAAAATCGTTTTACTTTATATTTTATTTTTTGCACCTTTATCATAAAATATAAAACTAATAATTGATGGTGTAACATATCGCTAGATATTATAAATGTTTTTGGGTCTTGTGTTCAAAATGAAAGTCATCTAAATATTAAAAACATTTGATGTATATCAGGTTTTAAGAGAAAGTTTCCCCAGAGGTTAAAATGTTAAAAATAATAGCAAAAATGTAATCACATCCAAAAAATAAATGAGAGACACATTTAGAATGAATCACGAAAAAACAACACTCAAGCTAAACCAGCAACCCCCTTTTATAAAGCACATCCACCATTTTTAAGCCTCTAATCAAACCAAGCCAGTAGTATACATAATACTTTAAAGCAAATCTCTTATGCCACACCCATTTATGCCAGTTTATAGGAGGGAAATCACCATAAAAAAGTCCATGAACATCTTAAATGATGAATAGCAAGAATTGTTGAATTTAATGAAACTAGAGCCATCATTTAAAATATTAACTTTCAAAATAGCCTCTCTAAATTGAAGAGGAATGCTATTAGGTAAGTTCCAATGATTAGGATAAATGAAGTCCTTCACAAGGGAAACACTATTAAAACAGACAAAAGCTCTCTCAACCCCAAAAAAATTAACTAGACTATTGCCACTGCACCAATAATCTCATACCATGGAAAATGCATACAAATCATTGTCCTTCGAGGAAAAGATTTGCTTAGATCTCAATGCACCTTCTGAATGACTTTCCAAAAAATAGAAGATCTAGGAGAAGGGGGTTTCCATGGAGATAAATGCTTTGCTTTGCGCTAAACAACTAAAGGGTAGGAAGAGGACTGGATAATAAGCGATAAATTAGAGAGCATACAAAAGAGTAAGAAATTGCAGATAAATAGGTGAAAGTTTAACCAATACAAAATTATTCTCATTTTTCGGTATTGAAAATACAAATTTGATCAAAAAAATTTTAAAAACACAAAATCTTTGAAAAAAAAAAAAGGTAAAGGTTGCTTAGAGTGAGACTAGTAAATTACTAAATTGAGTGCATTAACGAAAATCACTTCGCGAACTTAAAATCTTAACTTTTTCTTTCTCTCCTCAAAATTTCCTCTAAATTACTCTTACAAACCTCTGTTGCCGAAATGAATAGAATAGGCTTCTAAAAATGTTTTAGACTTTTAGTGACTTAGGATGTTTTTATTAAAATATTAAATTAATATTATATTATTAATTTAATCAATTCATTTGTATAAAATTAAAATAAATTATTTTCAGATTTTAAAAATTGCAAGAAAATATTCATAAAATAAATCTTTTATTTAAAAATATTGGTGAAATCAGTTCACAAAACGGAAACATGACCGTCTCAAAATTCCCATTTGTACCGATAGGTGTTAATTTTTTAAGGATTTTCATGATGCTCAAAAATTACAAAAAATTTCATGCCAGTAAAATACTAAAATAACAATACTATAGCGATGATGTTTTGCGATTTGGAGTTATATTGACTTGAGAAAAAAAATATTTACCTAGGCCAAAATACAAGTTATTATAGAACTTCTCTGATTTTAAAACGAACAATGGATGAAGAGCTCAAATGTTTTTTCAAACATTCTAGCATTTCTTTCCTTCCAAAAAGAAAATGGTGCAGCATATCGCCAGATAATATAAATGTTTTGGGGCCTTGTGTTTAAAACATAAAACATCCAAATATTGAAAAAATTGATGTATATTAGGCCTTAAAAGAAAGTTTCCCCCAAGGTTAATAATAATTAACCAGACTATTGCCACTACACCAGTGATCCCATACCATGGAAAATGAATGTCCTTGAAGAAAAAGAATTGCTTAGATCTCAATGCAACCTTCTGAATGACTTTCCAAAACAAAATACAGTCATTTTTTCAATGAAACATACTCAGCAAATTCAATATGGTGAATGAAAAATTAATAAGTATTTAATTTCTTTGTCACTTGTGATTATTTAAAGAACATGCCATAAATTAAAGAGGGAAAGAAATAAATGATCAAAGTCGCATATACCTAAAACTATTACATCTCTTATGTATGCAATAGTTTATAAAATACGATATATTGCACAAATAATGAGAGTGATCAGCATATATACATCTAATCTTGAAAAAGAGCATCAATAAGATTTGTAATGGATACTAAACTATCTAAACAATGCAATCAGTCATTCTCTGAATTTTTAATGAATTGAATCATCATAGGAGGGCCATTTAAATTCCGAGCTAAGCCATAAAAGTAAATTAGGTGTAGCAGTCCAACGCCTATTTTTAAGCATTGATGCGGACTCTTTGCAAACTAAGTTCGCCAATATGCCATCCAACTAGTTCAATCATTCTATCTAATCAAATTTCACAATGATTAATATTGCAAGTAGGTATTGTCATTTCGATTTTTTTAGAATGACTTTTTATTATTTCTTTTTTTTTTTTTGGGACATTTAGGCCATTTAAGGCAAACTCACACACACAACGCATACACAAAGACTCGAATCTTGGACCTCTTAGTTGGAAGCCTAAGCTCTCAACCAATAGGCCAAGAAGAGTTGTGTCTTTTTATTATTTCTTAAAGTAGTTTTTATATATATCAAAAAATTAAAATTATTTTAAAAAATAATAAAAAGCTATCACAAACGAAGCTTTTGTAATAAATTTATGTTGAGGTTCCTAACACAATTTATTCAGCTAAATTGAACTACAAGAAGAAGAAAAAAAAAAATACAGTAGTTTCATGAAATGCACAAGGAAAACAAGGCGCAAGCAGCTGCAGCACTGGAAAAACTACCAGTTCCCTATCTACTAGTTCTCCCGATATACATTCTCATACTTTCAAACATTAACCTGCTCCATCTGCACATCCTTCTCCTTCAGCGGTAAATACTCCCCCAAATAAACTTCCAAGTGATCTGCCAAAGCCGATTTATCGATGCTCTCATGGTGATACGATTTACATACAAAATACAACACCGTCTGCGCCACCAGCGCGAAAAGCACGACCACCGACATAAAACCCAGCATCGCCGTCGCGAATACTACTCTCACCGACATCGACACCTCCCCGACCACAACTACCCGCCGGAAAAGCAACTCGATCCCAATAAAAGCTAGATTCATTTTCAGAAACACCGTGGCCGCAATTCTCATCTTCCCCTTCACCAGATCCTTGCTCCTCCGCATCGCAGCCAAGCCATAAGCCTCTTCAAGAACCGACACCACGCTCGCCAGATGCCACACCACGCTGATCCAAACCAATCCCACGAGGTAGGCGAGGGAGAGGAAGAGGATGATGACGATCCCGATGACGTTTTCGCCGGCGATAAGGATGGTTAAGACGAGCACGAAGATGGCGATGATGTTGTAGCTGACGAGGAAAAGGAAGGCGAAGAGGAAAGTGAGGGCGAGGCGGCGCCATACCTTGGGAACGACGGAGAGGACTTTGCGGTAGGAGAGTAGGAGATCATGTTTGGCGGTGTAGGCGGACGCAACGGTGTAGACGACGGCGGCCGTGGAGAGGAGGGAGAATACAAGGAGGGAGAGAAGGTAGATGGATTTGAAGAGGAGGAAGGCAGACCATTCAGAGGAAAGTCGATGGAGGAGGCGGGTTTGTGAAGGGGAGCCGGCGGCGGTGTGTTCTAGGGCATATTCGTTGCGATCGATCTGGGAAAAGAGTAGGTAAGAGATGTGGATGTGGACGAGAAAAAGGACGGATAGAGGAACGATTAGGGAGACGGAAATTTGGGAGAAGAGGCGACGCCATGAGACGATTAGCTTCGACGCTTCTCGGTAGATGCCGATGATGCCCAGGAACTGGAGCTCCTCTGGTTCGCAATCCATGGATGATGTGGTTAGGGATTGCTCTTGCCGACCGATTGAGAGGAAGTTGGATGGATTGTGGGGAAGAGAGATAGAAATTTGGGATTAAATGAGGAAGGAATGAAGACGAAGCTGCAAAGAAACATGTTTAATATCCGACAACAAGCTTGAGTTGAATTGTTGTGGCCGTCGACTTTGAAATTCTTCAAGAGGAACGCTTCAAAACTCAGAAGTCGAAATTACTCTTCCAGCTATTTTCTTTCGAAGAGTTGAACTCGTAGTATTTATTTTTTTTTTCTTATTTTTTTATTTAAACAAGTTTCGTCAATTTATCTTGATCTTTTGAATAATGATAATATTATATTAATTATATATATAGTTGCACCCGGAAAATTCGTGGAGGCAAATAAATATTAAATTTAACGTCCTAGTTTTGGACAAAGATTCAACACATAAATAGATAAATAAGTATGAATACAATGTTTAGAGATACAATGTTTATAAGAAACAACAGAGTTTTTGGTGTGAAAACCGGAACAAACCTGCAAGAACAGAAAACAGAGAAGAAAGAACATGGAGAAGAAGGGTAGAGCATGAGTATAGGTAGAAAGTTCAAGTATTAGTATTCGAAATTCTAGTGTCTCCTCCTTCCAACCAGTACATAAGTAATACTCTAATAAAACTAAATATGAAAATTGCAATATTAAGCTGAGCTGGCCACTACTTGGCAGGTGACAGCAAAACATAAAAGCAGTAACTAATGGAAAGTAATAATGCTAAAAGTTGTAGAGCAGGAGTGGAGGTCGTAGGTTAAATGGAATGATGGCGTTGGGATGGGCTCCAGTACCACGATAAGCCACATCAGGTCTCCCCGACAGTGGGAGATTCCTCAGCTGAGGAAATAGATTGGACCATACCTGTGTCAAGAGATTTGTAAGCAAAAATATCAGACACATTGAAAGTCGACGGTGTGAGAAATGTGGGTGGGAGAACCACAACGTATGCGTTGTTGTTGATTCGTCGAACAATGGGTATATGCCCAATTTTCCTTGGACTGAGTTTTGAGTAAGTACCAGGTGGAAATCTTTCCTTGTGAAGACGAACCATTACAAAATCACCTGGCTCGAAGATGTTTTCCCATCGGCTGATATCCGCTTGCTGTTTGTAAGTTTGATTTGCTGCTTCTAGTTTGTCCCGTACACTTTGTAACATTTTAGTGTAAGTTTCGGTAGTATTGGGTGCTACCTTGCTCTTGCATTTTGGCAAAATGACTACATCCACTAAATGATTAGGACACTTAGTATATACAATGCTAAATGGGCATTGTCCAGTAGACCGGTTCGTCATAGCATTATATGTGAATTCAGCTTGGCTTAGGTAATCATCCTATTGTTTTGGATGCTCATGAGCCAAACATCGTAGCATGTTACCTAAGGTACGGTTCACGACCTCCGTCTGGCCATCCGTTTGCAGAAGATAAGAGGAACTAAGTTTGATTTCAGTTTGTAGCCTTTTCCATAATTCTCAACAGAAATGGCTAACACATTTCACATCGCGATCAGACTTAATGTTGCGGGGAAGTCCATGTAGGCGGACAATTTCTTCGAAGAACAGAATGGCGACATTGAGAGCATCGAACGTCTTCTTACAGGCTAGGAAGTGAGCCATCTTGGAGAAGCGGTCGACGACGACCATAATATAATCGGCGCCACGTTTGGTCCTCGGTAAGCCCAATACAAGGTCCATACTTACATCTTCCCATATTGAATTCAGTACCGGTAATGGTGTGTAGAATCCGGAATTTTGAGCATTCCCTTTGTACAATTGGCATATAGGACACCTCTCCACAAACCGTGTGACATCCCGACGAAGATGAGGTCAGTAAAACCTGCTTTGCATTTGCTCCAATGTCTTCGTTCTTCCTACATGTGCCGCTAAACCCCCACTATGTAATTCCTTGATCAAATGCTCTCACCAGGATGATGCCGGCACTTACAATTGATTGCCCTTAAATAGGAAATTGTCTCTAATTGAATAGTCATGAGATGGTATAGGGGGGCTGCTTGTCAAATTCTTCTAGGTTTCGGAGAAGTCATGGCCCGTTGAATACAATTCTTGCAAGGCTTCCAATCTGGGTGCATCAATCTACAACTTTGTAACCAATGCGGTGCGGCGGCTGAGGGTGTTGGTGACGCTATTTTGGGTCCCGGATTTGTGTTTCAGTACAAAACTGAAGCGTTGTAGAAACGTTAGCCACCTCGCATGCATATTGTTCATAGTTTTTTGACTATTGATAAATTGTAGAGCATGATTGTCACTGCATAAGAAAAAGTCCTGGTGTAAATGATAGTGCTTCCACTGCTTTAGTGCGCGAACGACTGCATATAGCTCTTACTCATAGGCAGACAAGTTTTGGCGAGCTGGGCTTAGTTTTTTGCTGAAATACTCAAGAGGTCTGTCTTCTTGGGAGAGGACGGAACCAATGCCCATGGAGGATGCGTCCGTGTCTACCTAGAATGGTTTACTGAAATCCGGAATGGCTAGCACTGGGGCAGATGTTAGAGCTGTTTTGAGGGTGTTGAAACTGCGATCTTGGTCGGATGTCCACTGCAGAGATTTCTTCTTTAGGCAATCGGTGATCGGTGCGACGATGATTCTAGAACCCTGGATGAAATAGTGATAGAAATTGGCTAGGCCAATAAAACTGCAAACCTCAGCCATAGAACGAGTGGTTGGCCATTCCATGATAGCAAGAATCTTTTGAGGGTCCATGTGCACACCCTGGCCAGATATGATAAAACCCAAAAAATGGACTGTGCTTTTGGCAAACTCACATTTAGGGAAATTAATATAGAGCTTGTGTTCTCTTAAAATTTCAAGAATTCGAGAAAGGTGAGTGCGGTGATCTTCTAGCGATCAGCTAAAAATGAGGATGTCATCAAAATTAACAACACAATACCTCCCGAGAGCAGGCTTGAGGATTTCGTTCATGAGTCGCATGAACTTCGCCGGAGAATTGCAAAGTCCAAATGGCATCTCTCGCCATTCAAATAATCCTTCTCTAGTATTGAATGTTGTCTTCCATTTATCCACAGGCTGAATGCGGATCTGATGATATCCGCTCCTAAGGTCCAACTTCGAGAAGAGGGTAGCGCCTGCAAGCTTGTCTAGCATGTCATCGAGACGAGGCACCAAAAAATGGTATTTAGTGGTAATTTTGTTGATAGCTCGAGTATCAACACACATACGCCAACTACCATCCTTCTTGGGTACGAGTAATGTCGGGACAGCACACGGACTGAGGCTGGGTTAAATCAATTTTTTTTGAAGCAGCTCCTCCATGATGTCTTGTAGTATCTCGTGCTCTCAAGGACTCATTTTATAGTGCGGCAGATTCGAAAGATTGGCACCCGGTTGGAAATCTATTTGGTGTTGCAAATTTTATAACGGAGGAAGCTCGCTCGGCAGGTCAGCGGGCCAAACTTTCTTGTAACACTGAAGAATATCATGAATGGCAGTGGGTACCTCTGCACACACATCATCTGTATGGGTGGCTGATGCAACAAGTGCTAGCATCCACGATGCTTCCTTCCAGGAATTTATAATATTTTGGCCCATGACAACAAACATTGTTGATTTGTCAGGCAGCTCCTTATCACCATCACCAGGGGAGCGGGGTAGGAACCGGATTTTACGCTGCTTCCACTCGAATGTGTATGTATTTGCATGCCCATCATAGATCGCTCCCACATGAAATTGCCATGGACGCCCCAAAATCAAATGGCAAATGTCAATGTCTAGAACGTCACATAAAACTTCACATACATAGCTCTTTCCAATTGAGAAAGTCACTATGCACATTTCAGACACAGCTATTTCCACACCTTTCTTCACCCAACTTATCTTATAGGGATGGAAATTGCGCGTCGTCTTGAGATATAACTTCTGCACTACCGATCGAGAAATAATATTCTCGGTGCACCCACTATTAATGAGTAAATCACAGACACTGCCGTCGATAGTGCAGCGAGCACGGAAGATGGCATGCCTTTGAGAAATACCAGTTTGACGAGGCGCTATTAGAAGTTTTTCCATGACACAAGATATTGGCTCACCTTCATCTGCTTGAAGATCCTCAAAATCTTGTTCATTCACCTGCTCGGCACCATGATCTTCTTCATCTTGTTCTCCTTCAAGTAGCTGCTCTTATTGTCGATTTGGACAATCATTGGACTTATGTCCCGGTTGGAAGCAACGGTAGCATTTCGAGGTTACTGGTTTAGCATATGGATTATTATCCTTAACAGGAGTCCTCTGGCGAGTGATGAAGGGAGATTTAGGCTCAGTGCCCAATATTCCAACTCCTCCCATTGGTGGGTTTGTGGCCTTACTTCCTCCAGCAGTAGGTAATTTGCTCATATCTCCACTAGGTTCCACAGTATATCATCCAGCAGTGCCGCTTCTCGGATGGCGGTTAAGCTGAATTTCAGCTTTGAGGGCGTAATTGACAGTTTGTGAAAGAGTCCAAACTGAGTTCAACTCGATTTTATCTTGGATAGCTACCTTAAGGCCTCCAATGTATTGTGCCACTAGTTGCGTCTCGGATTCATTCAAATTATTCCAGGCACTCAATCAGTAAAATTCATTCGTGTATTCGCTAACGGTCCGAGTGCCTTAAGTGTAATGCTGGTACTACACATATAACATTTACTCAAAATTGGTGGATAAGAAGTGTCCCCTCAACAATCGTTTCATCCGGTACTAACTTGTGATATTCCCCTTTCCTTGTCGCCTTCTTGACTGTAAGAGCTGCATCCACCACGCCCCCGCCACGCCTTTAAGATGACACACGACGTACTTGACTTGCTTCTCTTGTGCTATCTCCATGTAGTCAAAGAAGGCTTCGACAGCACGCTCCCAATCCAAATAGTCTTCGATGTGCAAGCATCCATCAAAGAAGGGAATATCCAATTTGATGTCGAACTCTCCGGGTTGTCGCTGCTGTATAGGGTATCGGCGAGGTTGTTCAAAGTAGTTTGGTCTATCTTCCTCCGTCGAGTCAGATGCTTCCAATTGTGGTTGTAAGCCTTCCTCATCCTCTGAGTTCGACACAGTCGGAACAGTAGTGTGGAGCCATCGGCCAAGACGTGGACGTAGTACCGGTGTGGTTGCCAGCGCAACTGGTCTACCCATTGCCGTGAGTGGTTGATTCGTCCTCAGGGATCACATCTCGGTTCTCATTTCCACTGAGAAC